CAGGATGCTGGCTTTTGAATGGGCTTCTTTTCAGTCTGCAAAAACTGCACTGTAAGAATGACTACTAAAGTAGCCAAAGCCAAAAGCAAATTACAAGTGCCCCGCCCCCTCAGTGCCAGCCATCCGCTACTTCCAACATTTCCGTGCACGGATGGATCTCGTTGGACAATTTCGGACTTAATGCGTCATCAACCGGACAACATCTACCTCTGTCCATACCGCAAACCCCGCGCCGACCGCTGTCGCCGTCACCGCCAATCACACTACCTCCGCCACCATCCGCCCTGTCCCAACCCCTGCATCGACCGCAGCGGCAAGCACCACTGTCACGTCTTCACGCACTCCCACCACCGATGGGACGACGTCCGATTTCCCATCAACTTAAAACACCACTAACATGCCCACCTACAGAGATGTTAACTGGGTTCATAACCGTCCTCATTGCGATCGCACACCCACCTCACGCATCGGTCTGGTCGACCACTTGCGAATCCACCGCACAGACTAGCGAACCAGCGCCACATACACACGCCGCATCCGCCTCAATTGCCGTCACTGCATTCGCACGTCTTCTCACTGCATGGGTCTTTTAGGTCACATGGATATTCACGAGAGCGTAAATCACCACAGTCTCAACACACCTGGCGTATCCACCATGCCTAGCCCAAGCCACATGCCGTCGCCCAGCGGGCCAAGCACCACCACCACCGAAACCGACTCCGAACCTGCCGATTTATCATGCCCACACTGTCTCCACACACTCACCTCACACGTAGGTCTGGTCGGTCACTTGCGAACCCACCACACAGAGGCTTGCGAACCAGTACCTGGACCACTCACATATACCCGCCGCATCCGCCTCCACTATCCACACTATCCCCACACATTCACCCATCGAATGGGCCTATTAGAACACGCGCATTCACGAAAACCTGCGGTAGAGAACCGCCGGCTACACCGCATCATCACATCTTCCCCCACCTACATCCGCGCCACACAACACTACCATCCACCACAAGCACCCAGTTGTCACCTCCGACGAAAGTGGGAAGTATGCTTCTCAGCTCCTTCTGCATGCGGCTACTCTGCTGCATGTGTGATTCAAGTCTGAGACTATCACGGTGCGCCAATCGCCGTGGCGTGGAAGTCTGTCGACAGACGCTCCAACTCAGTCCATGCAATCTGTCCAGTTGTGCGTGTGTTCGTGTGGCGTGGCGGACTGGAGGGCCGAAAACCAGATGTTACGGATCCGTTTTAACTAGTCTGGGACACTCACGCATGTGAGAAATATGTGTGCTTTCTGGGTAGTGACTATCAGTTGACGACTGTTTGATTACCCAGTCGTAAAGGATGACGGTCTAGGCAAATACTGGGCCGCGTGTCACCCTTCTGGGTCCGAAGGTCTGCAAGTGTCTGTTCAAGTTAGTTCAAGTGAGAATCCGAGACGTCAGGCCAATAAATTTCTTGTTCCAATGATCGCATCTTCGTCTTCTGCAGTGTCTGTTATGTCAGGATCAGCAAACCATTGCCCTCGCGGCCTGCTGTGCGCTGGCAGTTTTCCGATACCTGGTTCCCTGCCGGTAGATGCGCTTGCGCTCCCGTTGTGTATGCAGGTTGTGAGCATGGCTGTCCAGTCATCTTCGTCCTCTGACTCGTTGTGGTGTTGTTGGTTAAAATCCTGGTCATTTGTTGTGTGCACTAGGTGGTGTGGAGTGGAGCGAGCTCGGCCGCGCCATCCACCTTCGTCTCCGGTCTCCTTGACTATGCCTTGACACCGGACCCAGATGGGAGAGGAGGGAGGGTGCAGTAGATGCAGCGCAAGCCTACACTCACTACAAACTAATTTATACGCCGGTCACTGTGCCTGCTTCACCCTGGAATTGAGCACTCAATGAACATCGTCGCATGCGGCGGTCGAACTGTCACATATATTCAATTATTTTTTTATAGAGAACGCGCACAAAAATATTCTCTGGTTTAATCGTCTGTTAGTAAGCTGTGTCTTCTCCAAATTCTCTGCTTGAAGAGGGCATGTCTTTTGGTTTGCAAAAAATTTCTAATTATAGGATTCTTAAGACCGTAAGCCGCTCATTCATACAGCATCGCATTGGAACGTCTATAAGGGCTATTGATAAAGTATATAATCTGGTCCACATCCATTGTACAACTTTAGGAGTTCTATATGGCGTTTTCCTAACATCGTGGAGAAATGTTTAACATTCCTTTGACGGAAGGTATACAGCACACAGTTTGGAAATCCCGAATGCAGGCGGAACGGCAGGTGGGTACTCTTTCTTTGATGTAAGTTGCCACAATATAAATGCAAGAGAGGATATTCGTGTGCCTCTTCTCTATATAGCATATTTGAATTTATAAGGGCATCGGAGGCCAATGTAAAAACGCATGCTACTTAAATAGTCATCTGTTACAACTGCTTTTACTGGCGGCCAAAAAGGCTCTTTCGAGAGCCAGGATCCTGAAGTGACCGAAATATCTTGGGATTATGTTGCACGGCAATTAATCACACCAACCTACTTAAGTAACCTTTCGAGTCAAGAGCATATTTCACAATTTCGGTCATAATTTCATGACATTGCACGCCCACTGCACAGTATGTGACCCAATTCGTGAAATGTGATGACGGGAGCTGATATGATATTTTTGAGCGCCTAAAACGTCGCGCGTCCTGCTCATTCGCCCAGACTCTTTCGAAAATGTCCTTTCTGCGTGCAGAATTGGTGCCTAAGTAATTTTTTTAAGGGAAGATGTTTATAGATCTGGACATAAATTCACGTCACCCTATACTTACGCAGTTTCCAATGTTAATAGCAGTCTTAGATTTAATTTACGAATCGGAGTGGCTTTTTAGAGAGCAGTGACTTAACTTTTCAATTGTAATATTCATTTCGCGTTTCCATTTAACCGGAAGTAGTTTATTATTAGTTTCGAATTTGTGTGCATGAGTTCGAACTGGTTTCAGATTGGTAAGCGATATCTCATTTATCTAAGCATATTTCATGAGATAGGTCAAGCTGTGGAAGGTGCCATTGAATTAGACATTCATCGCGCCAGAACTGCTCTGGCCGCGGTTTTAGTTGTGATCTCCACAGTGGGCACCGTGATGTGCCGCCAACCGAATCGATCAATGCAAGTCATTTGGTGCTATGAACCTTAGAAAAAAGGAAGGTTATGATCAGCTCAGCGTTCATGAAAATAGTGCTTACGTCAGGCGTGGCGGGGACGCCTTTAGGGGAAAATCCGTGAGTGGTTTAGAACACCAGGTGTATCATGACTGCAGGCATGATAAGACCCGCACCCATGATAAGGGCGCAATGATGCAGCCGTCTTTAGTCGGAAGAGTTCATACGCCTCATATGAGCAGGACGTTTTCCCTTTGTCTAATTTTCTATGCGATTGCTTGTTTAATTAGCTTATATTAGTTGTCATGAGATCAGGCGTTGGCCTTTATAACGGCAAAGATGAACCGTAGCAAAACACCTAGGAAGCAAAGGAGTCTCGGAAAATCCTCACAAGATCGGCAGGTATAACGAGTCGGCATGAAATGTCGCGTCGCAGCCTCCAAGTCAACCGGGTCGACGGACGCCATAAGTGCTGAGGAACAACGCTGTCATGGTGGAACTCACTCCACATACCACCACCGCAAACACATTTAGAGCCCGCGCCGATTTTGTTGAACATTTTCACGCCCACAGCTACCTGCGTGCTCGGTAGGATGACGGTTCACGGAAGTCAGCGACTCACGTACTAGTGGACTCGTTGAAACATTAATTTGTGCGACCGGCCAATCCGCGTTGTATCCAGGGGCTAATTCGTCAGGCGGACGACCAGCTGAGGTGGTTGAGATCTATCGTCGGTCATCCCTCTGTTGGTAAGAACTGAAGAACCAATCCCGGATGAGACCACAGCGAACAAGACCTGGTTGGAGAGCCAAGGCTTCCGGTTCTCCCTAAGTGCGTACGGTTGGAGCTCGCCTGCCTTCTGTTGGTTGACAGTCACCTGTTCTGGTACACCCCCTGGCATATGTTATTTTTTGTTAAAGTCGTTGCTACAAGGGTTCTCTGCTATAAAAATTACATTTAGCACTGCGTACTGCCACTTGTTTACAAAGCACAAAACTGATGGCAGAGGTTTTTTAAAACGTCCCACAACCAGGCCTCAATTAAGCCGGTGCAACTGCCTGGCAGCTCAGGCATAATGGAAGTTTGCTAGGCCCTTATATCAGTACTGGAGACACGGAAATTGTCTTGCGACACGTTGCCCTTGGTTGAAGGCTGGTGGCGACTTCGGCATTTGGTGTGGAGTGGGATGGCCGCCTAATTCAGACTTCTAGTTTAACAATGAGGACAGCCAGCTACTATTCATCAATGGGGTTGTGATGTGAGATGTGCATACTTCAAAAAGTATCAGGAATAAATTGCAGGGTTAAGACGCCAGGAGTCGCTGGTGCCACCCACTGACGATCTCGTCATTCAAAAATATTTTTTAATAGTTGGCGAGCAGTCGGGCAACAGCGCACTGAGTGTAAGCCTCCGGAACTCAGAAATTTGAGGATTAAATTGAAAGAGGACTAGAAAGTATTACTGAATATTCCGCCACCAAGTAGTTATTGTTGGAATAAGCTTGATGATTGTTGGTCTGCCTAAGGCAAATCTGGTTGCTATGGCCTACTTTACTAAATTTTAAAACCGAACATGAGTAATTATTCCACATGGATATTTGTTGGTTAAATCCGTCTCTTACCCCAATTTTTTCGAAACTAAGAGTGCAGATAAACTGCTCGTCCATTAGGTGATTTAAGATATGGCACACAACCACCTGAGAGCCAAATATGCCTTGCGCACGCGATAATAGTGAAAGAACACAAAATGATTGGCGAAAGTTGATGGAATAAGAAAATAGGCTTAAATGCAGAACAGTAGTCTGTGGGAAATAGTAAAAATTCTAAATGCAATCTGGGTGGTCTGTTTGCATGAAACAAATCATAATTTGAGGTAAGTCACCACCGGACAATGATCGCTTCCAAGGACGCCAGAGCGAAATTCTTGGTCGACAACTTGCGGCAGGAAGCGGCGCGAGACTAGGAAGTAATCCAACCGCCTAAAACAAAGTGTTCGAATGCATTCATGGATAACTTTGAGGGGTGCAAAAGACGCTTCAAGCGGGAATGCTGATAAAAGGAAATCTAAGGCGAAGACTCGGCGGAAGAGGAAAGTCAGGCACTACAAAATGCGCTACTTACCACCCATTATTTGATACTCGAGCGTTCCTCATTGTGCTCCAAAAGGTATATGCATCCTTTCGATTAGGATAAAAATGGCGATAAGTGTCAACAAGATCCGCGTCAGCCAAAAAATTGGTGAAACTCTTGCGCTCCTCATCCGTAAAGCCTGCAGTTTTGTGGTTTCCGTCGGGGTTTTTCAAATCTGTTGAAGATAGTTGTAAAAAAAAAACAAAATGAGAAAGGCAAATAACAACGAAACGGACTTCGAAATGGAACCCTCTCTGCTAGTACTATAGATTGGAAAACCATGCACTCGGACAAAACTTATGAATCCCGAAAGCCCCATAGAACAGAGGAAAACTTAGCGGTCTGCTGTGACAGGTTGGTGGTTTGATCCATATTACATGAGTATATACCCATAGTTAGCTACTACGATTAAGATAGGACTACCGGTCGAACGGGGTGAAGAAAGCGGACGCCAAAAACATACCGATTTCTTCATGAGCAACATTGAGATCGCCCGAGACAATAACGGGTTTCTCTTTGTCCAGTTGCTTCACATACTCGCAAAAGGCCTTGTCCCAACGTTCAGTCCTGTACTTAAGTCTGACAAGACCGCGACCGGAATTAGGGACATCTAAAGAATGCAGGGAAACTTTACGCGCATACATGTGGTGATCAGGAAGAAGCTATCGTACTCAGCCGTAATAGTTCGCCCTTCGTTGTCGTGTTCCTTGGAACCAATTCCATACCTAACGCTGATCGGGGCGGTCTTACTATAGAGGCCCGTTCCAGCATACCCGGGCTTCTCGGCGGGAAACCAAAAAGTTTTAAATCCCGACAGCCTGGCCGCGTGTGGGATATCTTTCGACTGACATTTTATTTCTTGAAGGCCGAGAGCATCAGGCTGCTCTTCTAAAACATAGTCGAGCCCTCCATTCTAATAAGAAGGCATTAGAAAGAATTGTTTCTACTTTTATCCACGCCCGTAACCCATTCACGTTCCATGTGACGCATTTGAATGTCCATAAGCTTGCGTCTTTTAAAGATGCGTCCATTAAGCTTACAGTCGAGCCCGGGTACGCTCGGCACCATGAATAGGTGGGTCTAGAGTCCTGGGAAAAATAAATTGTAGACAGATTACCTCCTTATTCACGGCTCGGTGAGTGGTACCGGGATCAGTGTTTCCAGATTCTACAGGCTGTGTGCCGTTCTCACTCCCTTCTTCTGAATTATGGGTCGGGTCAATCTTTCGTCTTTTCGTAAGGCTCTTTGATGAAATGACTGCCGGTTTCTAAAATATAGTCATAAATAAGGAAAAAGTCCATTAGTAACAGATGGTCAAGTTGTTCGGAGCTGACAGGAGAGAAGAAAACTCACCACGGGGTGCGCCCTACGTCCCCCTCTCGCCATTGCTGATGAAACTGGAAGTAGGCGCTTCATAGTTATATTAATATAAACGATAGTTATTCTGAATCACCGAGTCGGGGTATGAGATTCCCAACGCCAAGAGATTGTGACTTACTTATACAGAAAGTTCCGTTTTAGTGAAATCGAATCCAAGCTGTGCAGCGTTTGCGGAGTTGTTGTCGATAACACACAAAGAGGACTCTACGAGTTCAT